TGGGCCTCAACCACCTCCCGGGGAAGCCCATTCCACACCCTCGGGGTCCTGACTGCCAGGAAGTGCTTCCTGGCATCTGAATTGAATCTTGGCTCCGTTGGAGCGCGTCCCGCCTTCCTCTGCAGGGGAGAACAGGTCTCTCCCCACCTCCTCTGACACCCCCTCACATACCTGCATGTCGCCAACAGATCCCCTCTGAGTCTCCTCTTCTCCTGGCTGAAGAGGCCCAGTTCCCTCAGACTTGGCGAAGGTCGGGCGCGGGCCGATGAGCGGAGGCTCAGCCCGGGCAAGACGGGCGCTCTTGGGGGGCGGGGGGTCTTGGCCCAGTTGAGAAATGCTCAGCCTGGACAGGGCTGCAGTCCCCCTAAAGGGAAAGGTGCTTTTGGAGCCTGAATGATCCCTTGAGTCGCAGGTGGACTCGGCGGCAGGAGCGCCTTTGATCAGCCTAGGCTAATTGACCAACTGCAGCCCTATCTGACCATAGTCATCCGTGCTTTGGTGACCTCAGGAAGCCCCCCTCAAAAGAAGCTGGGGGGTGACTAGCAGAACGGCTTTTTCAGTAGTGGCGCCCCATCTTTGCAAAATGGCTCCCCAAGGTGTGCTGGGCACCATCTTGGTTCTCTTTTTGGTGCCAGGTGAATACCTTTTCAATTCCTAAATATTTAATAGACGAGATTCATCTAAATTGTGTTTTATTACTACTATGCCACATATTAATTTTTTTATAGGTGCTGGGGGTTGATGCTTTTTTACTGCATTGGTTTTATTGTTGATTGTTTAATTAAACATGATGACTTATTGATTTTACATGTCTTTTAAATGTGTAAACTGCCCAGAGAGCCCAATGGGCTATGGGGCAGTGTAGAAGTGTAGATGATGATGATGATGATGATGGAGGAGGAGGAGGAGAATCAACATTTCCATCATTTTTGGATGGAAACTCAGAAGCCCGTGCATGTGTGTCTAACGGACAGGCTAAGCAGGTCTGGTCTCTTCCTCTGGCTCGATGAACTCATGCCACTTCAAGAATTGGTCCCTGGAAGCATGCAGAGCTGGGAAGATCCTCCTGAAAAAGCCGTTTGAGAACAGACCCTCCCAGCAATATTTACTGATAAGCAAAAAAAGGCTTGTCCGGGAAGGCAGTGCAGTGGGCATAGTTCCAGACCCCAGCTGTTTTCATTTTCTCACAGCTGGAAATGTGAACACACGTGATCTGTGTGGATCAGAGCCCTGGGCTTGTGCGAAGGCCAATAAGCCCCATTCCCATCCACCCCCGAGGTCCTACGAGCAGGAGAAGACTCAGCCACTCCATCTTACAGCTCCCAAGAATCCCCCTTGGCTCAGAGGGCAAGCCAGCCATTCTGCAACCTGCTGCTTGCTGGTCATGCCAACCGTTCTGTGAATATTCTTGAGACGGCAAAATGCTGTAGGAATAAATACAGAAACAAGATGCCTCATTTCAGGGCTTTCTACCTACCACCAAGTGGTAGAAACTCACGGGAGCAGTTTGGTGCTTGCTGAAGACGGTACCAGAGAAATGATCTTCACGTGTACACAACTGGGTTTCTCTTTTCTTTCCGTAATGGCTACCTTCCGCCAAATTGCTCAGGCGGCATCCATGCTCCCCACTGCTCCCATTTCACCATAAGAAAAGATCTCTGAAATTGGCTGGGTGGGCTGAGATGGAGCCCCAGTGGTCCAACAAACTGAATGCCAGAGGAACTCGCCATTCCTGGTTCCATGATCTACCACTCCATCATATCAGTTGCCAGATATCCTCTGACCAGCGTAGGAGAGGTGGTGGCAGGCGGCAGGCAAAAGCATCACCCGGGAGGAGCAGGCGGGTTTACTGAAGCAGACGCTCCCCTTGTGGAGGACAACATGCCAGCACTTTGAGGAAGAGCCGGGGACAAGGGGGCCTTGGGTGGAGCACGGTCGCAGGATCTGCAGCCCTTCCAATGCCCTGAGCCAGAATTCCCAGTCAGCTTCCCATTGCCGTCGGATGGGCAGGGCAGGGCAGGGCAGGGCAGGGCGCGCCATCTGCAGGCAGTCCCTGTTTGGGGCCAGGGAAGGGTTTGGCCGCGTGCATCGCTTCGCTTTGCTCTGCTCACTGGCCCCTTAGGAAGTTTGGCAATCGGGGATGGGGGGCGGTGCCACTTGCCTTCCTGCAAACTGATCCAGCCATGTGCTGAAGGAGCCACGCGGAATGTGAGCTCTCCAGCGTGCCAAGGGGGCAGCCTGACCAGCTTTCCGTGTGAATGTGCTGGGCTTCCTCACATACTTGCCTTCCCAGGGTGCCCGCCGGCAGAACACTCTTTAAGCCATGAGCTATTCACTGCCCGCTTCGCCCCTTTGCATAGCATGCAATTAATAACGTGCCATTTGCTTCTGAAAATGGTGGAAATGTCTTCTTTGGACCATCTGCCGACCTTTCCTAAACCCCTCCTGCAGGGTCACAGGAATAAAATAAGAACACCCACAGAAATGACCAAAACACTGCTGTTTTCATATGAGGTTCTGAGAGCTGCGTAAAAGAGAAACACACTTGCGGGAGGCCTTCTGTTCGATGGCTTCTGGGCACCCAACATTGCGTTCAGTTTATCTTGAGCCAGGCCACTGGTCCGTCCAGTTCGAAATTATGCCTTCCCCAGCCAGGGCCCCCTGGATGCACCAAGCTACAACTCTCACCCGCTCCAAGAGTACAACACCTCAAGTTTGGGGGCCACTGGGGTCCCGCAGAAGGCCCTGTCCCCGTCTCCAGACTCTCCACTCACCCCAGGCATGGGCGTTCTGGCACAGTTTTCCCCATCCTAAATGACTGAATTCCTCTAATTGCCATCAGCTGCTAGTCATGAGACCTTTAAGTGGAAACATTTTGTCTCCACCCTTCTGCCTTTGTCTTGACTCACCGCTGGAACGAGTCCCTGGCCACACACAAGAGCTTCTCTGGATGGTACCTGGTCGTGTTCTGGTGGGGCTTCCAAGAACCCAGGCCAGGACTTCCCCAGGTCTGCTAGGAAACACCAGGAGGAGGAAAACCTGGTGAAGCAGTGCAGCAAGAGCCCCTGGGTCCAGTGGACCATCCACCACAGAGATGGCCCTTCCCCTCCCCACCCCCATCCACGCTCTCAAATACTTGTCAACTGTGTCCCCTCCTCACACGGAGCAAGACCCTCACGCACCAAGTTGTGGTTGCGATACAAACAGCAGCAGTTCCATTGTCTGGCACATGCCTTCACATGCCATCGGTTCTGAATTAGCAATGAGGCCACTGTTCAAGCATTTCTCGGTTTCAGGGACCTTCAGAGTGGGGGAGCCCTCATCTTTCCTTTACACAATGCAGCGAACTGGACGGCTTGCACAGGGTGCAGGTTCAGAAAGCCGAAGCTGTGCAGCTCAGCCGGTCGCCTCAAAATGAGTGCATACGCCAGAGAGCAAGGACGCTTCCCAGGCCTCCGCAGGGAGGCTGACTGAAGGTGCCTTCTTCTCAGAGAATATTTCAAAATGTTCTCGTGAAAATGTCAAGTCATGCTCTTGAGCTCAGAAACGCCTTGACGTGCCAAGTCCCCAACGCACGTTCCAGGTGCAGGGAAAACAAAAGCAAGCTTGCACTCGAGACTTGAAGAAGATGGAGAAGAGCATATTAAGAGTTCCTGGGTCAGATATCCCACAGAATATAGGTCAGCGGAGCGTTTTGGCCCCGTGACACTGTGCTGTGCAGTGAGCCGAAACGTCCTGCAGTCGCTGGATGCGCTCGCCTCGGATGCGGGCCAGAGAGCGCTGCCAGGCTGGGCCTTCAGCCCAGATGGACTCAGTCCACCCCCGCATTTACCCCGGGAGTGAAGCTAGGCGCATCCTCCGCTTGAGCCTCCGAGGGGTTTCTCGTTCTGGTTTTGCATTGTAGCACATGCATGAAAGGGGCTTTTGGCAAGCAGGAACACTTTATAATGAAGAGCTGCATGACACACTTAAAAACAAACACGCAAGCGAGTCACCCCCTTCTGGGCGCCTCCTCCAGATGTGCTGGGTGACAATTCCTAGCGTGCTGGGAGCACACGCTTTTGTGGACCACTGTTCCCAGCAAAATCACTTTCCCTGCCCCCTCCATTCCTTTGCAACAACCTCCCAAAACACGGTTCCACTGTTTTATAACCTGCTTTTTTCTTCTTGTAAGGAACCCCAAAGCAGGTTGCAGAGCCTCATTTTATCCCCACAACAGCAGGCGTTGTGGGCCGAGAGCCTGTGACTGGCCCCAAGTCCCCCGGGGACCCATAGCTGAGTGGAGGCTACAGCCTGGACGCCTGGCCAGTACGTCCCACTGGCTGTTCCTCGATTTCCTCCCTCCAAATGCTTGCAGGCGGCCCAGGCATCCTCTTCTGCATGGGCCAGCCCTATATTTGAAGGTGTGCTCCTGTTGAAGGGCCATCCTGGCTACTCATCCACCACACCGACTCTCAAATGACCAATAAATCCAGGATCTGGGAATAAAATGGAAATTTTGGAAATTGTTCTTCATTTGCTTGTTGCAGTATATGGGAGCAGAACAAAAAAAGCATTATATATTTGCAAAAACAGATACTTAACAACCTCTAGAACAGGGACCTCTCGACCACCCATGCTGAACAGATCATGTCATGAGCGGAGCCTGCCGGAGCTGGGGTCAGACTAGATGGCCCGGGAGGTCCTTTCTGACTCGCTCTGCTTCTATGTTTCCATGTTTCTAAAATTTGTTCCATGGTGCTTTCAGCTCAACAGTCCCAGAAAACACGTAACCGTTTCCCCAGTAGTATAGGAATGGTGTCAGCTAGAATCCAAAAAGCATAAAACATATTGCTGCTGACAAGAAGCTGAGATAATCATGGTGAAAGCAGTTCTTCTCTAATATCCCAAAAGAAATTGCGATTTAATAAATCAAGCCTTATTATTTCTGAATCCTCTGAAGCACAGGGACAACAAACTTGCCATGAAGAATCCATACAAACTCTTCCCCTGCATGGCAGATGGCAGAAAATCATCCCAGCCGATGTAAGCACAGTCCGAGGCGACATCCAGGGATAATGCTAAGCTATTCCTCCCCTTTGCTCCCAGTTGGGAACTGAATGCCAAAAAGTGGAAGGAAAGCGCAGGGAGCTGCCAGGGAGAGCAAACTCTGCTATTCAGTGTGGTGCAAATTAAACGAAGGAGCTTCTTTTATGTTTTCTTTTCCCCAGCAAACCAACAGCTGGCACCCTAGCCAGTAGCAATCTGCACAACTCAACTTTTATTACCGGCCATGGAACAATAGAACTGCGATATTTTGGTTATCAGAAGTTGCAAGCGAGGCCTCAAGCTGTCATCCGCATCCTGCTTCCTGGGAGCACATGCAGTGGCTCAGCACTGTATAAATTCAGTATCGTCACCTGCGCTTCCTCTCAAGAGGACCACCCAAGAGACGTGTAATGAGCTGCATATGTATCTCCTTGGGACCCAGAAAGGGTCTCCTACTTCCCAGAATGCCAAGGAAGATCTTCCCACCAGGATTTTCCACACCTTAGAGGCCTCCCTGCAATCCTCCTTGATTCTTAGACTTAAGACTCCTTGCTCCCCCCCGCCCCCCCCCCCCCCCCCCCTCTGATTTGATTTTTCTTTTTGATTCCTCACTACCTGCTGCAGGTCTGACGGAGTCCCGGCCAAAGTTCATCTCTCGTCATCTGCAATCCAGCTCAGCACAACCTCCCCTTTTTGGTGATTTTGGTTGGCCCGCACCTCTGTGGGGGCTCAGGATTTTGGGGACAGATGGCCCAGCAGAAAGAGCGTAGCTCAGCATGCTGGGACCTGGGATGAGCCCCATAAAGTGTCCAAGAAAAGACTTCACTCACTGTCTATCTGAACTTCACAGAACTGTGCACTGCAATTGATCGAGTTTCTGGGAGTGGACTTGATTCCAAGATTGCAGGAGCGGCTTCTGTTGCATTTCCACCCCCTCAAAAGAGAAAAAGTACTGCTTCTTCTGCCCTCACCTTGTACATCCATCAGAACATTAAATGCAAAAGATCACTAACAAAAGGTTTAAAATTTTCTTCTGCAGAAAGAGCACGTAGCTCTGGGCAACCGTGTTCCATGGGGGTGTAGACAGGGCTTTTTCTGAACCCCGACCCCATCTCCATAGCCCACCCTCTCTTCCCCTGTGCCATGGCTGCTCGCCGTTCTCAGAGAGCGGATTTGAGACTTTCAGAACGGAGGGGGAGGAAGGCAGAGGAGCAACCAGCTATTTCTCCTTCTAGAATGGGTGCCGAGCACTGTTGGTCTGCTCTGGACATGGACGCGCCACAAAGACAGACAATCCTGCTTTGGAGCTGGGGAGTGAGCTGCGCGGAAAAGGGAGGAGGCATTCAAGGCCGCAGGAGGCGGCTAAGTCCGCAAGGAGAGGGGCCCCCTTGGCTCAGGAATGGACAGAATTTGACCCGGACAGCAATCCCGGAAAGAATGCTGGGGACCTCCTGGAGAGAGGAGACAGCTGGGCTATGGAAATCTGTGCCAGTCCCGGGCCCGATAAGCTCTCTGCCGCAGCGGGCGAGCTGACTTAGCGTCTTAAGCCAAGTCAGGGGTTGTTCTGTGCCAAGGCTCTGTTGGTCAGAAACCCAGCAAATCCATCGGCCGGGGAGAGGGGTGCTTGCCAAGGCCCAGAGCTCGACGAGAAGCCCGGCAGCAGAGCACAGATCCGTTCAGCAGCACACGCAGCAAAGCAAGGAGCTGCCGCAGAGCAGGTGGGCGGCTTTTGCGGCCGGGCCGGGCAGAAGATGCGAGTGCGACGCCACCTTCTTCCACGGCTGCTCATTCTCACCACTCCAGCGCTCTGGTTTGGTGTGCAAAGGCAAGCCTTGCTCCGGCAGCCTCCATTTTTGCAGTTCCCTGGCAGTGGTGCAGCGAGGTAACTTTGGCCCCTACGCCAGCCTTCCCTGGCCTGGTGGCCTTCAGAGGCATTCGGACCGCAGCCCCCAGGATTCCCACCCAGCAGGGCCACTGCCTGGGAATTGTGGGCGTTGCAGTCCGAATGTGTTGGGAAGGCGCCAGGCTGGGGAAGCCTGCCCTGGGCTTAGTGATCTAATGTGGCACACAGGCACTTGGCCCACCATCGGGATGACTTCGGCTGCAAAGAGCACAACGCCGGTTCCTTCTCTGCTTCCGGAGATGTGAGAGCAGCAGAGCATTTGCTGAGCCTGCCTCTGAAAGGCGTTCTGTGGCTCTTCAGGCTGGCACTGCCGGCTCCCCGGAAGGATGGCACCTTCCTGGCAGCGGGAGTGAGCGAGTTTGCGTCTCCCGCATCTGCCACCTGTCTCTCTGTGGTCCTCCATTGGGCAGGGGGCCAGGATTTCAGGGCTGTGGCTTCAGACACAGTTAACCTCTGGGGACCAGAAGGGCCGGCTGGTCGGGACGACGCCTCCCTTCCTGTCTGGCTCGGGGACTCGCAGGAGCTGCCTGGCTGGCCCCCAGGCATTGCAGGGTGCAGGGCTAAAGTGGCCCGGGCTGATCCAGCGAGAGTCCGCTGAAGGCATCCCCCAGCTCTGGATGGGGTGGCTGCGTCACGTGAGGCCACGTCCATATGCTAATGATGTGTGCACGTGCCCCGTCAAGCTGGATTTGGAGGAATTAGCACCGGATTAAGGCACTAGGAGCTCCGATCTCTCTGGAGTGGGAGGGCTCCTTTCCCAAATAAAGCCACTTTGGTTTCCCTGGCAATGCATTCCCCAGTCCCAAAACAACGCTATGGCCTGAGGTGGAGGGCACCAGGATGGGGAAGGCTGGGTTAGAAAGGGTGGGTGGGGAGAAAGAGGGATGCTCCCCAGTGGCCACATTAAGGGGACGAGGCATAACAGCCCGTGAAAGACCCTAAGAAGCCACTTTTCCACGCAGAGGCCTGAGCGCACATGCGGTTCTGCCAGAACAAATGCATTTGCTTCTGAGGGGCTGCAAGGCCTTCGGTTCTGCTGAGACAGAGAAACGTGGCCGCTGCCCCTCTGGAACTTTTCTGGCTTTCGGGTTCAGTGGCGAGCAGGCGGGGGCACCTGTCCTCGCTCGTTCGTTGAGGCGGGGGGCGTCCCACTTCGTGCCCCACAAGTGGCCTGCAGCACCACCTCGGCCGAGTCTTAGCTCTCATTTGACTAAGAACGTCACCCGACCGGGCCCGCCACAGCCGGCATAAGCTCCCCGGCGCGAGCGCCACTTGCCAGAGTCTCGCCGCCCTCCTTCGCCTCCGTCTGCCCATCGTCCTCGGGAAGCGCCACGCCCCCCGCCCAATGCCGGGACATGGCCACGCTGCTGCTCCTCTCCCTCCTGACCGGATCGCTGGGGCCGGGGTCGGGAGGAAGCCCCCCGGCGTGCCCCGCCTCCTGCAAATGTTCCCCTGCCTCCAGCATTTACTGCAACAGAACTGGACTCAGAAGTCTGCCCAAGGAACTCGCGGCCTCCACCATTTCCCTGAACCTGTCCAATAATTTCCTGCGCCTGCTGACCGCCGACGCCTTCAGCAACCTGACCCTTCTGAACAGCCTCTGGCTGGACCACAACAACCTGACGTTCTTGTACCCGGGGGCGTTCAAGTCGCTCTGCAACTTGAGGGTGCTCCAGCTCAGCCGGAACCCCCGGCTGACCTACCTTCACGCCAACACCTTCCAAGGCCTAGCGAACCTCATCAGCCTGGACTTATCCCACTGCAACCTCTTTGAGATCCACCCGTTCGTGTTCACCCACCTGCCCTCGCTGGAAGCGCTCGACCTGACGGCCAACAACATGCGCTATCTCCCGCAGGCCTTCCGCAGCCTGACCGGCCTCACGAGGCTGTCCCTGGAGAGGAACCGCATCGAGGCCATCGGCAGGGACTCCCTGAAGGACATGGAGGCCCTGAAGGAGCTGAACCTCCGGAGGAATCGCATCTGGACCATCCAGAAGGACGCCTTCCTCCCGCTGGACCAGCTGGGCGTGTTAAATTTAGGACACAACCGCCTCTCCGATTTGCCTAATCAGCTTTTTGCTGGATTAACGCAGCTGAAGACCATGCACCTGGAGGCCAACCGGCTGACCCGGATCGGCTGCCCCTTCAGCAGCCTGCGCAGCCTGAGGAAGCTGTACCTCAACAACAACCGCATCTTCTCCGTTGACGGCTCGGCTTTCTCCCACTTGGGGGAGCTGAACTTCCTTCACCTGAGCCGGAACAACCTGAGCCACCTCCCCAGCCGCCTCCTCGCGGGGCTGCCCAAGCTGAGGTTCGTCCTCCTGGCCCACAACCCCTGGCCGTGCGACTGCACCATGCTGTGGTTCGCCACGTGGGTCCTGACCTACCAAGGGGTCGTGGAGGGCCCGCAGTGCGCCTCTCTGGCCCTCGGCAACAGATCCTTCCCCAGCCACCGGGCCCAGGACGCCTTACCCAGCTGCCCTCCGCCCTCGGAGCCAGCTGAAGAGGACGACTGCAGCAGCGCCCGCCAGAATGGGGCTGCTCAGCCGCCCGGGCTCTCCGAGACCCTGGGGGGCCTCCTGCTCTCCTGGGGGGCCCGGACATGCCTGGCCGCCTTCTCCTTCCACAGGGGGCCGGCTGGAGCAGTGCAGCTGCATTGAAAGCCTCATCCTCCTTGCTCCCCTATTAAAAGGGGTGCGCGTCTTGTGCTTTGGGGAGCGTCTTTTGTTAATGGGCCCGCTTCAGTATGTGGCCAGCCAAAGTGCCATTCCTGCTGTCGGCCTCCTAAGAAGATGCTAATTTGGCTGCATTTCTCTCGGCCAGGCCGGAGGTGGGCATGCATGCTCAGGAGGGCCGAGGGCGCAGGAGGGCAGGCTGGGCACCAGGGACGGCTTTTGCTCGGCTTCTAATTCCCTAATTCTGCTGCCTCTTGCAGCTGTCCAAAAATGCTTGCTAGCTTTGCAAGCTAGTGAGGACTGGCAGTGGGCTGCCCCAGAAGCTTCAGTCCCTGCCCACCCTTGGGGTGCGGCCTTTGCTGCAGGAGGTGTGATGTCGGTGGAGAAGCCCCTGGCAGGCTGGGTCCCTGAGACACCCTCCAAGCGGGCGCCCCACAAGCAACACTCTCTTCTAAGTGATGGTTTCGGGGTCGGCCAGGACCACCGCGGAGGGTGCCTGGCCTTGTTGCACAACGCTGCACCCTGGAAAGACGCTCCCCCGTCCGATTCCCTGCCACAGAATCACAGAAGAGTTGGAAGGGGCCATTAAGGTCATCAGGCCCACCCCCAAGCCTAGGGCGAGACTCCAGGGTCAAGCAGCCCAAGAGGCAGCTGATCAGCTGCTTCCCGAATTCCTGCTGTGTGGAAAAGCCCGCCATTGTTCCTTGCAAGGAGAGAGAAGGGCAGAAATGCCATCCACCCTCTTTGCCTCCTAATCCGGGCTAAGGCAGCTTCCCACATTCCTGGCTCCAGGACGGCTTTTCCCAGCTTGGTGCCTTCCGGATGGACTTGCCCGTAACTGGGCCAACCCCCCTGAAGGGCACCAGGTTGGAGAAGGCTGCTCTGTGTAAGGAGGCCCAATTCTGCAAGGCAGGATGCCGAGCCGCTTACTGAGGGCCAAATTCCATCTAGAAGGAGCTCCTGCAGGAGCCATCCCAGAGTGCCGGGCATGGACTCGCAGGCTCAGCTTCCAGGGAGCCATGAAAACGGCCAAGAGAGCCCTAGAACCTACATCACCCAAGCCCCAGTCCAGCACTCTAACCACTGCACCACGCTGCTCTGCTCGTGTCCACTGACAGTGGTTCTCCCAGGTCTCAAGCAGAGAAAGGCCCACTGAATCACTGTCTTTTGGGTCCAGAGACCGAAGACTGCCCTTCCCTGCAACTGCCCCATTCCCAGGCAGCTGAGAGCCCCATGACCATGGTTCGGAAGCCGGAACAAGGGTGTCTCCCAGGGCTTCAGGGCCGTGGCAGAGAAAAGCTTCGCTTCTTGGCAAGATTCCCACCAAGTCCAAATCAGAGGCATTTTTCTAACGTGTTGAGATGCCCCTCCTGCTGCCCTGCACCCAACCGGACCGAGCCAGCCGGCACGTCGCCCCCCCTTCCCCGCTGCAGCGGTGCAGCCAAAGAGGGCTGCCCATTTCTTGGCAATGGAAGCGTCAGGAACACGGCACGACCTCTTCCCTTTCTGCCCTCTCCTAAGAGAAGTCCAGACATTCCCAAGGGGGGGTGTGTGAGAGAGGGAGAGAGAGAGAACGCGCGCACACAAGAGTTAAATGATGGAACTGGGCACCCCAAGAGGTGGTGACAGCCATAAACTTCTTGTTCAGTCGCACAGTCCTGCCCGACTCCTCGCGACCCCATGGACCATGGCACGCCACCGCTTCCCCGAGTTGGCCCAAATCCACGTTCATTGCACCAGTGACTCTCTCTAGCCACCTCCTCCTTGGCCGTCTTCGTCTCCTTGTGCCTTCCGTCTTTCCCAGCATCAGGGGCTTGTGCAGGGCCTTAAAAGAGGATTGGCCAGATGCTGGGGGATGAGGCCACCAAAGGCCGCTAGCCCGCCAGGCAGGGGCTGCCTCCATTTTCAGAGGCAGGATGCCTCCACACACCATGAGGCGGCGGGGCTGCTGCACTCCCATCCTGCTTGTGGCTCTCCCAGAGGCGGCTGGCTGGCCGGCCAGCCACAGCGGAGCAGAACATCGGACTGGGGGCGCTGTGGCGCATTCCAACACAGCCCTCGCAGACCTCCTGGCCACCACATCTAGCCGGCTTTGGTGCCGTCCTCTTCCTCCTCCTGTCCCCTGCTTTCTGCACCATTGGCCTGATGAAGAGCCCTGGGAAACTCAAAAGGAGATAGCACACTTGTGTGGGATTCCAGTTCATCCTATCAAGATGGCGCCTGACTGTAGATTTCCCTCCTCGTGGATGGATCTTCCTTCTGGCCAAACTACAATGAATTACGGCCCACTTCAAGAAGGACCACAGCCCCCTGGAGCTCAGGGTCTCTCTGAGGGAGAGGACTTTCTGCCCAGCCTCTCCACCTCCTGTGTCCCACTGTGGAGACAGGTCAGACTCTGCACGGTCCCTCCCAGCCACAAGGAGACGAGTCAAGATCCCCGTGGGAGCCTTCAGATTAAGCATCCGCGGCACTGAGGGGTGCCATCTGGTGGCCAAAGGGAAGCTCCAGGAGATGAAAAGCAAAGGTGCTTTTCCCAAATGCAAAATTCCACCCAAAAGGCACAGCAATGCCTTTCCTGAGCCAACCGAAAGATTACAGAAAAGCACACATGCTCTTGAGTTAGCAAAATCTTTTGGCCAGCCTAATAAAGGTAAAGTTCTGGTGGCAATCTGGCACCATAAATGGCAGGTGTGAGGTTCTGGACGACAACTGAAACAGTGGGAAGGGTGAAATCCTGTATCACATGTGCTTTGCCCTCAGGAGTGAAAACACGGGACAGAACCGTTGAGGCGTGTTACATTGTTAACATCAAGGTCTGAGTTGACTCGATGGACACTCAATAAAGAAATACCTTCTGGAGCTGGGCAAGGTCCCCTTTGTGTCAAGCAGGTTGCAAGAGAAGGCGGGTTGGTCACAAACACCAGGCTGGCCTGTATTTAAATGATTTTATTTTTTCCAATGTTTTGCCACCATATTGTATCACTGGGACTAGCAATATGACCTCAAGCGCAACTAAGTTTGCCAAAGCCAGGGCATGTCTGATCCTATGGAAAAAATGCCTTCTCTTTGGTGACAGCATCCCCCTTTTTATTTATAAAAAAATAGTTTCTTCTCTCCCCAAACATTCTACTTTTCAAGTCACTGGTCCTCGCTGTCTGTGGAATTGGCCGGGTCCTGTCCTTCAAGCCCCTTTCACACAGGTTTAACACCCAATAGGATTGTAAATAAATGCATTTTAAAAATTGCTTTTTCATGCAGATTCTGGAAAAAGAAGTAAAACACAAAAATGTCTAGGCAAAATGCTAACAAAACTAAGGGAACATACAAAAATGCTTTGGCTTGATTCTCTGGGGTTAATTGAGTCATTGGCAGATGCAGTAACCTCAGAAAGTGGTACTTCTCACAAAAAGATGTAGCAAAATATAAAACTTGCTATGCCTGTGTTGGTAAAGTAATAAAAATGCGGTTCCACTATACAGGAGAAAAGGAGCAGCACCAGGAATACTGCTGGAAGACCTCTCTTTGGGAGTGCCTTTGTCTCCATCCCATCCTCTCATCCTCATCTGCCCCCTTGAACAAAGGTCCAGATCTGTACTTTTGCTGCCATTCCACAGGAACACCAAATGCATGAACTGTGGCATCATGCAGTTTCCTGAATGTGAAAGCTTTCATTTAAAACCAAAGTCAAGTTCCTAGCCCTTCTGAAGGCAAGCTTCAAAAGGCTGAGGGCCATGCTAGCTGAAACCTCAGAAGCCCAGGAATGCTGGGAGGCGTATTTCTGAGGTCGCAATTGGGCTGACTAAATCCTGCAGAACAAATTATGCAAACTAGTTTAAAATGGCAGAATGGATTATGCAAAATAAGGTGGCTAGACAGAGGGGATGCAGTGGATGTGGTTTACCTGGATTTCAGCAAGGCCTTTGACAAAGTGCCCCATGATATCCCGGTTGAGAAATTGAGGAGTTTTGGGATAGACCAATGCACTGTCCGATGGATTAGGGCATGGTTGACTGACCGAAAGCAGGGGGTAACCATTAGTGGGCATGTTGTGAGCAGAGCTGGCTGGAGCCAGGGCTCAGACTAGATGGCCCGGGAGACCCCTTCTGACTCGCTCTGTTTCTGTTTCCAAATTATGCAATCTTGTTTTGTACTGGCTGCTAAATACAGGCTTGCTCAGCCTGGGCACTGCTTTCTATTTCTTTTCAGGAGTGGCACACACACAGCCCTGGTTCCTGCCTTCGCATGAATGGAATTACAGCCACTTCAATGAAAGCTCAACCCCGAGGCGCACAAGGGCCGCTGGAGACAAAGGAAAAATGGCCTTTCTTAAGACAAGAGAGTGAAATAATTCCATTTTTGGGCCAGCAGTGGCCCACCAGAGAACTGAGCACCTGGGGCAGGCAGCTTCACTCGCTCTGCCAGCATCCGACTCCGGGAGATAAGCACAAAGGTTTCCCGTGGGCACTGGAGAGAGAACCCCTTTTAAATTCCCAGGAAAGCGAACCATTTGTTGTGAAATGCTCCTCCTTCCAAGAATTCTCACCACATTCCCGCCTTGCAAAGCAAAACAGAGTCCTTCTTTAAAAACAAAAAAACAAAAAACCATGCCAGCGATTCTTCTGACTGGCAGCGTTTCGGTCTGGAAGCAGCCAAACTGGAGGTGGGTGGGGAGGTTCGGGCGCTTTGGTTTGGTGCCAGTTCCTAAACTCTCTTCATTCCTCGGCCCATCAAGCAGGCGAAGACGGTCATCACCATCTTGGGTTTCACCTCCACGAGGTCCTCTGGAAGGGCGTACACCCGGGCTCCGATTCTTCTAGCCATCGACACGGCATACCTGTTGCAGCAGAGGAGACAAGGGGACGGCCGTCAGCCCAGCCACGGCTCGGCCAGCCGGCTGCTCTGAGCGAAGCAAGGCTTCAGATCTGCACCGCCGTGGCAAGATCTGGGACCAAATCGAAGGATGAGTGGAAAACGGTTCAGCGCTGCGGCCAGGACCAAACATACAACTCCAGTTCCGGCCCACTTGCGCTGGCTGCCGAAATGTTTCAGAGCCCAATTCAAGAGGATGGTCCTGGCCATGGGACTCACGACCGTAACTGCTAGCATGAATCTTTCCATACACCACAATCTGCATTGGATGCACTGCTCCAAGTGCCCTTTCTAAGGGAGGTTTAGAGGATGGTGACAAGAGAGAGGCTTCTCGGTGGTGGCCCCAATTTTGTAATGCATGGGGCCAACATTAGCATATTTCAGCACCAGGGTAAGACCTTCCTCTATTCCGAGGCATGTGACAGCCTGTGACAGGGTTCCTACTTGGTCCTGGGACTTCTAATTGCTGATTATTAAATGGCTTTGTGTTGTTGCTGTATGTATTTTTTAAAAATGTGCTTACGATACTGTCTTTTTAAGATTTGCATCTTACACTGCCCAGGGAGCTTTGGTGGTATGGAAATATCCAATATGAAGTGAAAGAGCCTCGGAACAAATGGGACAGTGTACAAAAGCTTTAAATAAATAGTAAGTCTGGAAGGAGCAGGGGGGCTTACTTGGCGTTGCTGTGCTTGTCTTCCTCTGAGAGGTCTCCCGCCTTCACAAGGTCATAATTTATGCAGCCCGGCTGAATGGCATCGATTAAATCCACTACGGCCAAACTGCTGCTGATGCTCTTGTCCTGGTGAAGAGGAAACAGCGCCAGGTAAACATGATGGAAAACTGAGGAAGGCAGTGGGGAAAGCTGTACATACACAACCTGTGCCCCAAAATAGCTCCGTTCTACGAGAAGCACAATGCCAAGGAGCGGGAGCAGCTGCCACACGTGGGGCCTGATCGCTCCCCTTCCGAAGCCTCCTATGGGCGGCTCATCTGCACCCGACCCTCCTGATGCAATGCCCGTTTGAATATTCCACATCCGTAGGCTTCGAAATCAAGAGTTTTCTCCTCTTTTCCTTTTCCGGAAAGAACCAAACTTTCTGGACCCACCCTCTGGGAGTCCATTTTTTACTGGCCAACTAGCAGGTTAATGTTTTGGAACTGGCTTTTCTTTTCTGTCTTATGCCTGTTTTCTTTTAGCTGTGCATGTGGGTAGGTTACTACTTTGATGATGACTGATTTTACCCACAGACTGTTTCGTTGGTTCTTGTTAAGACCTCTGGTCTGGAGGATTGCAAAAACATGCTGCCTGTGCTGTGGCGTGACCTCTTACCCTGTACTGCTATTCAGAGGGTCATTTTCCCTGCTGGAACGACATGTGTGAGCACAGCCTGACATGGGGGGAAGTGTGAAAATGGGTGTCCAGGACTAACTGGGGGACGAGCTCACTGCATGGAAGAAGGGGGCTAGTTTTGTGTGGGAGAGAACTTCTCTAGATAAATCCCCGCACAAAGAGAAGCAGCATGCCAGGAACAGTTTGCCTGTAGCCTCTTCCCTTACACATGCCAGCTTTCTGCATGCAGGGAGGTGTGCATGGTTCTACTTGGAGATGAAGCAGCGTTATATGAGGAAAGCACGCCTCTTCGTGCACCCCTGAAACCTCAGGTGGGACAGCAGGAAGATAAGGTCTGGGTGCCACTAATGCATGGTGGTGGTCCCAGAAGCAGCGGAGCAATCACAGAGCCGCCGAGATGGCAACAGAGGCTTCCACCAAGACAGCCAACAACCTCTCAGCTGCGCTCAGAAAGGCGGCCAGGAAGCGGCGGAGTGGGCTCACTGCGCACCTTGAAGCTCTGGATGGAGGTCGACTTCCCAGCTTCCTGCAAGGTCCTGTTCACCCATTTCACAATGATGTCGTCATTGGCCTTCTGGCCATCCCCGAGATCCTCCAGGACATTCAGAGTGTATCTGGGCAGAGAGAGGGAGAACGAGTGACCCATCGCCCAGAGAGGCGGGGCGCCTGAGAAGGCAGCCTGTGGATCCCTGGGGGCTCGGCAGCAAAGAGCACATCCTGAGCCAGAGGGAAAAGACGTCGTCCGCGGGCAGCCAAGGATGCTGCACTGCCCGAGCGCCTTGCCTGGCCTGCTCCGCATCCTGGACGGACTTCCCGGCAAGGGAAAGCAGGGTCGTTCCACCGGCTTGGCCGATGGCCCCCCCACAGGAGGCTCTCCTTTTCCCACTGCTACCCGCACCCACCCGGCAGCGATGGAGGGAGCGGAAAGGAAAGAGCAGGAAGAGCCAGTGGTTCAAAAGCCACCCTTTGGACCTCAAGCAACCCTTAGCAAAAGACCAGATGATCTGGGAGGGAGGGACGGAGGGACGGAAGAAGAAAAAGGGGCCTGATCCTCTTTAATGCGTGCTGCCTGCTCTCCCAAGGGGCAGACCTGCCAAGGGCTCGAGGAAGGACCACCATCCCCCTGGCCGGAGTGGGCTGCCCATTCAAGGGGGCAGGGAGGGGTGCTTCCACATGTCCCCCAAGTCCGGCCTGCTCGCATTCGAAAGCCCGGACTGGCGAGCGCATGGTACCTTCTCATTAGCTGCCACACGAGCGCCAGCGTGAGCGTGGGGTTCCCATCGTTGAGGTCCTGCCCCCCGATGCCGACCAGAGAGAACTTGGCTGGATGCTTCCCCAGTTCGACAGCGTAATTGCAGTTTTCTAGCTGTTTGGAAGAAAGAGGGAAACATGCCAGACTTGCAGTGGGTTATGGAGCTACCCTATTCATGGCTGGGGATGCTGGGAGTTGTAGTCCAGCGCATGTGGAGGGCACCAGCCTCCGAAGGCTGAGCTAACCCTTTTCTGCAATCTCTAGTACGCACACAAACGGACTCACTCCCAGCTTCCCATCAGTGGCTGCTTCACGGTGGGAATCATCTCAGAGGGAAGAAATGGGTTCAATCCGGCGGTGTCCTGCATGCAGAGCAGGTGCCTTGCCGGCGAGTTCCAGCCCTCCCGCATTTTCCAAAGCTGAAGAGAAGGTGGCAGAACGAAGGCTAACGTTCGGCACTCTACTTCGCGGGCGCCCCGGCTGCACATCAGAGCCAAGCCTCTTGCTCCGCTTCTCGGGGATCTCCGGCATTTGCAGGAAGGCGAGTGGGTTCTGAGCTGCAGCCCCCAAACGGGGGTGGAGGGGGTGAATTCCCTAAAACGGAACTTGCCCGCGTCTCCCAGCCATGTCGCATTGTTTGCATGAGTTCACGGGGAGCGATCGCTACCCGATTCTGGACACTTGTACCGGAATCTCTGTCACAGCGGGGATGTGCCTGCAGGTGGAGAGACCCCCGAAGCTTGGAAGGCCCCGGTCCGAAAACGCTCTCACCTTCTTCATGTTTGCTCCCAGCTTAGGGTACGGGGGCCTGTTGACTTTGTTCCAGTCGACGGGCACTTTGATCTTTTCATAGAGCTGCAAAATCACCAGCGCGTCCTGCAGGTCCCTGAAACAGAAAGCGGCCTTGCAGATCCACTTCCCGACACCATTTCGCAACAGCACTGAGATGGGAGGCTCGGGGCAGCAGGCGACCTACCCGTAGAGGTGGTTCACGTGGGGGTTCACGCCGAGGGAGTTCATCCAGTTGCGGAACGTCCTTTCCTCCCGAGTCTCACCTAGGCACAAAAGGCAGCCCACCCCGTTCATTCAGGGGACGGATGGGCCTCCGTGAGGGAGCGGGCAAGGAGGAGGGCGCCCCCATCCTGGGCAGCTCACAGTCAGGGGCAAAAGCGAGCGAAAGATCCCTCCAGCCAGCAAGACGCGAAAGCAGACGCTCAAGTGCGCAGAGCAAAGCTGGCACAAGAGGCGGTCAGCCTGGGCAAACGCCACTTCGCCCAGGGGCCCCCGAAAGTCCCGGGGATGCCCCCAGAAAGGGGCCTCCTGCCCGCCAGCGCCCCCACCAGCTGCCCACCTTCAGCGAGTGCTGAGGACCCTCTGCCACCCTTCCTGCCGCTAACAGAACTGCAGGGTGGCAGGAAGCGGCTCTTCTCACCTTCCAGCAGCGTCCAGTCGATGTCCTGGTTTTCAGGTTTGGTGAGTGCCGGATATTTGTTGAACAGGTTGGCGACAAAGGCCATGTTCAGCTTGGGGTTGCCGCTGACGACGTCCGTCGGGGTCACAAACTGCCGGCAGCCCAGCCGGTCGGCCTGCTGCAGCATGCACTCGGCTCTCTTCAAGTCGTCTTTCTCCTGCAGGCCCCAGAGAGCGCCTTCAGTCCGGCTGCGGCCCCTCGTACGGCCTCCGCGTTTATGGGATGGACTGCCCCATCCCCCCTGCTCCAGACCAAGTCTTCCCCTACCCCCCAGGTCCTCGACCCTCAGCCTCTTTCCATGGAGGACAAGGCAGCCACTGAAAGCCGGGCATTAATGTTCACACCCACGCTACTAGGTGATGTTTCCCAGTTGCTTCTCACGGTTAATCATTTTTATAAAATGTGGGGGAGGCAATCCAATCTCTGTTTCAACAGCTCAGTTTCCTGTGGTCGAATCCTTATCAGGTCACACGGAAGGGGCAGTTACAGAAAAATGGGCAAGCACAGAATTAGGAGCAGTGGGGCTTCTCCGTATGCTGGGAGCGCATCCTCGGAGGAAACCCATTAGGAATGGGCTGCTCAGAGCAGCTGCTGTGTCGCGAGCACCTTGGGTGGAGACACCACAGGTGGCACCTGAGTTCCACGCTCCCTGCAGCACAACCTGAGGAATTACTGGCCAGGTTTGCACGATCAACACAGCCCATGGTAGCTTGCTTAAGCCACAGTGGTTTGGGGCATGGGCCAGTCACTATTCTGGAATATTCGGGCATGGTGGTCAGCTGCTGTGGCTTACTGTGCTCTGTGAACCTAGCAACAGTGGCTTGTGCAAGGGTTAAATAACCTGTGCATAACCCACAGGTGGATTTAGGGTTGCATAATGTTCCTGGTTCCTGTTAAACCATGTTCCTGCCAGGTAAGAAGTTTGTTAGCGGACTGAAAAATTAAATGCAAATTTAAGTGTTTCATGATTGTGTTTTTCAACTCGTGATGTTTTCCAGCAGGCCTAAGGTGCAATGTTACCTGAAAGCTAGACAGGTAAATGTCCCGGGACATCAGATTCACAGCAGGGCAGTGACACTGGTACTTACATTGAAGCCAGACATGTTGATATCAATCTGTGGCTCTCCTTCCTTCTGTCCTTTGGGAGCAATTTGATTGAGAAGGTGGAAGTATGCCCTGGAGTCCTGGAGCGGATCAAAGCAGTAAGACGTGTCAGCCGGAAGCTTGCCTTTTCAGTGCTGAACTTACATACTGTACGTGAGTCCATGAAATTGGTTAAAACCACGGAAGTATGAAGTATTGCTTTTGTACCTTAACCGAGTTATTGAAGTCGGCAAGCTTGCAAAATCAAAACGCAAAAAGCAAGGGCAAAGGGAGGTGAGAGAAGGAAAGGGCGCGTGGCAGGAATCCAGGAAGCATGAGAGAGAAAAGAATTGAGAAGGTTAGATGAGAAACCATCTCGACTCCAGAAGAAGGCAAAGACTCTCCACTCCAAGCAACATGGCGCTCCGTGGAAGCGGTGCACGGGTGCAAGAACGGCCCTAGTACCTTGATCTCTGAGCTGAAGTTGTTGATCTTGTGCCACCCGGCATTTTCCAAGTGGAAGTTGGCCCACCTCAGCAGCAGCTCCTCCGGAGACAGCTTCATCAGGTCCTCGATGGTCTCCCCCTCCCGAAGCAAGGCTGCCAGTGCTGAAAAGAAGGATCCGTGCATGAATGCAGGGAAGCCGCTCTGGAGACGCGGGACCTGCGATCTGTTTTCCCTGTAGGAAGCACACCCGATGCTGGACCGACTATTAATTTCAGACGTGCATAAATTAAGCAATGCCCCATGTGGGCTGCCGGCTCCAGTTTAAATGCCGAAGTTTAGAAGCACCTGCTCCCATGTTTCAGCTGCCCGGGAATTTGTCTGTTCTTTGAAAATTATCCTTTAATACTTTTAAACCTTTGGAAACCTCACTTCACTCAGGGGGACATGCTTCTGGAAGAAAGACGGCAGAGAGAATGTTGTAAAGCTTTCTGGTCCAGCAGAGACTTCGGGGCACAGCAGCCTTCAGAGAGGCATCTATCCAGCCTAGGTACACAGTCTCTTTCCGCCTCAGGGCCATTCTTGGGACCACGCTGCAGGGACAGGCAGAGCCGAAACCAAACTGAGAAACGCCGGCCTATTTTGGCTCCGAGGGTGGCTGCCAGGAGCGTGGACCCAGCAGGGCATTTCCCGCTTTTCGGAACGCAGAGGGGAAAGCATCGCTAGATGGGGAGCCACCAAACCATCTGGGGAAGCGGGTGGAGAAGCTCCGGGGACCAGGCTTGGGTTCCAGATCTCAGGCTGCACACCCCTGACGTAGCCATCCAACAGGTCCCTTGCAGGGTGTTTGGGCACACCCTAGAAATGCACAACTGGGAGTTCGACAGGAGCCCACCGGATGCCCCCAGTGCGGCCCCAACTCCAAGCAACACTGGCAGCGGCAAGTCTTCTACCTGGAGGGGCCTCCAACTGGAAGGGGCCGTACCTTCATTTCTGCTGAGTTCTATGTCTGCAAACAAGCCAATCTTGATGATCTGCCAGAGGAGGCCGAGGACCAGGTGAGGCTTCCCTTCCCGCAGGTCCTCCGCCCCAATGTTGACCACGTGGCATCCGATGGCGGAGGCAGAGTTCAGGGCCAGGTTCAGGTTTTCCTGTCGAGGGAGGGGAGAGGGAAGATGGTGACAAGGAGCTCAGGCAGAGCTCTCACCGTGCTGGGCAGGAACCACCTGTGTGCTGAAATTGGCTTCTCCTGCACCGGTGGCCAGAGCCACCCCACCTGCACCATGCCCCAAATGGCCACCTGCATCCCTCTCGACACCGGAGGAGCTGCTTCTAAGCCGGCCGATCAAAAGCCCTGCTGCTCAACAGCTTTGAAAGCACCCTGCACTGCAGACCTTGAACGCCCGCTGGCAAAACGCAAACAACATCAAGGCTCGCCATTAAGGGCTTCCGTCTGCCTGAAAGAGGTAAAGCAGGGGGCGCTGATGGAGCCCCAGCGAGGGGGGTGGAATGGGAGGGCACCAACTGGGGAGATGTGGCTCTCCTGAGGCTGCTTCTCAAAATGCTGTAAAAATATATTTCCATTTTATGAATCCGACGACAGCTGCAGGCATTCATAGTCCTTGTTCTTTTAACGCTGATGGCGCACACTGCCTTAGCAACGAAGGGTTCCCATCAATGTCCAATGAAAGGCACAGGACAAAGGCGCTTTCAGTAATCAAAGGCAAACAAAGCTCATCTTTCGCTCCTGGCAATTCCCTTGGATTAATGAACAAATTCGGCATTCTTTAAACCCTTTGGGAAAAGAGCTAGAAAGAGCCACACCTGAATTACGAATGGCGTTAGCTTCTTCTTGTTGATGGCTCTTTCATCGATTGTGTCCGGAACAGAGAGGTTGATCATTTTACTGTCGGGACAAAGAAGAGGAATATTTACATCGCAACAGCAACATTTAGGGTTTTTGCTTCCCGAGGGAAGGGAAATATGTTTTCAGGTAACAGGCTGCCACCAATAATATTGCTAAGGCCAATAAAAATAAAAATTCTCTCAAAGCAAAAAGATGACATCTTCAAGAAAACTTTGGAACTAACAAGCATGCATTTTTCAGTTCGGTGCAAAAGAATGAGGACTGTTAATGCGATTCATTTATGAAGGGTCTTGATCAAAACTATGTCATCCATATTTTTATAAAAACTCAATACCACTTTTTAATAGTTTTATAAAAAGGGTTTATACCATTTACACTGGCTGCCACTGGACGTCTGGGCCCAATTTAACTTGCCTATAAAGCCCTAAAAGCCTTGGTCCCCACGCACCCGAAGAACTGCCGTCTCCCACATGGCCCTCCCAGTCTGCCAAGATCCAGGTAGGGGGCCCTTCCCAAAGTCGTCTCCCAGGGAGGGGAGGGGCTGGCAGCCAGGAGAAGGGCCTTCTTGGTGGTAGTGCCCCATCTCTGGAATAGGCTCCCTCAGGTCCTGCACCTGGCCGCATCGGCCTTATCATTTTGGTGCCAGATGAAGGCATATTGCTTCTCCAGCTATTTTAAGAGTTGATTTCAGTGCTAGTCTTGCTTTTCCCTCGATCCTGGCTTGTGGTTTTATATCAGTTTATATATTTTTTTTAAATGTTTGCTTGAAGTTTTATATACTGATCTTAATTTGCTTGGTTCTGTTTGCTATTATTAATGTTCTGGGATTGTTTTTAGCACTACTGGTGTTAGAAAGTATTGTTTAATCGCTATAAGCTGCTCTGGGAGCTCAGCTAGACGCTACTGCAGTGCCATACAGACGGAAATAAGAAATAAGAAAGACAGACAGATTTAAAACCTTTCTATCCTGGCCAATACCAAGGGTCTCAGAACGGCAACACAATAAGCAGCACACACAAATAAAACTATTTTAGGAAAATTACTGTCGAAGCATGTACTCCTTTCCCATCGAAAACACACACTGCGAACTGAAAGGGAGGGTTTGGAGAGGCTCCCTACGAAATCAAAACATGGGCCGCGGTCCTGCTTCGCACACAAGGACCAACCACGGGCGTGAGCAAGTCTGCAGACCCCCCACTATGGGCCATCTTGCCTCTGCCTAGACAACCATCTCTTCACCATGCGGCGTGGGCCTGGGATCCAGGGCCGCTGAGGGACCAAGAACCCACGCACGAGCCGTGGCTCTTCTTCCTGGGTTGTTTCTAAGGGGCAGCAGCAAACAGGGAGAAGGCAGTGCAGGGATGCACACCCACACGGCCCGACAGCCCACTGAATGGCCCATGGGTTGCCCCTGCGGGCGACCCAGGTGCTGCGGAATTCAGGTGGTTGGGGAGGAGCCCCGAAGAACACAGGAGGTCAGCATACGGGGAGCAGTTAGCACGCTGCCACGTGGACAGATGGAGTGCTCCTAAATTCGGGGAGGCATTTTCCAAGCCCTGCCAGGAGAGAGCAGGGACTGAACTTCAGGCCTTCCAGACGTTCAAAGGAGGGACTTTGGATGCGATGCTCAAGGTCCAGACAACCTCTGCCACCTTGGGCCAGTCACTTCTCCCAGTCCCAGCCCCTCCCAGTGCGAGTAAAATTTCTGCACACGTGTGCAAGAGAGGCCTGGCACACCCACCTTCTTGTGCCGCCAAAATAAAACACGACCGCACAAAGCACAAGCAAGCATTTGTGCTCAGAACTGCAGTATGGGAACACCACGGAAAGGGAGACTTTCCTGGGGCAACGAGGGGCGGGCTCGGGAAGCGCATCACCGTGTCGCTGCAGCGCGGACACTTTCCAGGCACATCCAGACCCCAAAACAACAAATGCGCCCCGACAACTTACCACAGCACAATCCCGTCCCCGACGGCTTTGAAGAGATCGTCTGTGTTTGGGTTCATTGGAATGACATGCTTACAGTCCGGGTCATTTTCCAAAGCTTTGTTGACCCAGTTCACAAAGGCGTATTTTTCTTCCTCTAAAGAAGAGGGAGATTGTTAAGTTCACTGGGCGCATCCCGCTCCAGCAGCCGCCCCAGCGAAAAGCAGCCGGGCGCTCAAGCAGCCTCAGCCACAGGAAACCTTGGGGCAGCCTTTCCCCCCACTTCAAATCCCTTGAGAAGAGAAGCGGCACACGAGGCCGCAGCAGCTGAATCTGAGCCTTTGGCAGGCAAGCCCCAAGCTGACCGACTGACTGATTTAAATACTTGTATGCCACTAACTATTCCAGCAGGAATCTCTAAGTGTTTACAACAACAATCAAAACCACAACCTATTCCGTAAATGGAGGGCGGCCACCAAGAAGTCCCTTCTTCCATGGGATGGCTCTCTAGAAGTACCTCTTGTCCAGATCTTAACAGATGGGCAGCCATATATGGAAGAAGACGGTCCTTTAGGGAGCCAGGCCCTAAGCTGTTTTTTTATTATTATTATTATTATTATTATTATTATTATTATTATTATTATTATTATATTACATTTTTATACTGCCCATAGCCAAAGCTCTCTAGGCAGCTGACAGCAATAATCATAGAATCATACCCTCAAGTCACCCATCCCACTTCTGCCCAGGCCTGACCCTGCTTAGCTTCCCAGATTAGGCAGGATCAGGCACTTCAGGCTGCATGGAAGCTACATGGAAGTTTAGGGCTTTATGTGTCAAAGCAAGCACTTTTAACTGGGGCTGGGCTTCAACTGGCAACCCAATGTAACATGTGTAAGACCAGACTGATGTGGGCCCATCGAAACGAACATCTGCCACTAAATGCATGGCCCAATTTTGGAGCACTGGAATTCGCCGGACCACCTTCAAAGGCAGCCCCACATAGAGCACATTACAGGAATCTAACCTGGATGCTACCGGAGCATGAGTAACTTTTGCCAGGCTGCCTATCTGGTTAGGGGCAAAACTGATATATTTGCCACAGCTGAAGGAAGGTGCCGCTGGCCACCGAGTCCAGCTGGGCCTCTAGAGATGGTGCTTGGTTCAGGAGCACCCGCAAGCCGCGGACCCTGCCCTTTAGGGCAGTCCAGGACAGGGCAGTGGCCCTCCAACCTGCCCCGCAAGCCAATCCTTCTGCCTTGCCAGGATTAAGCTTCTGTTTATTGAGCCTCATCCAGTCCATCGCTGAGCCCAAACACAGGTTCAGGAGAGAGGCCGCCTCACCTGGATGAGGTAGAGCTGAGCGCCATCAGCAGACTGCTGGCACTTGGCCCAAACCTCTGGATGACCTCCCCCAGTGGTTCCGTGCAGATGTCAAACAGCGTGGGGGGTGGTGTGGAGCCCTGTGGAGCCCCATGATGCAACCGCCATGGGGCAGCGCAGCTACCCCCCAGAACCACCTTCTGGGCAGGACCAGCCACAAAGGAGCAGAGCCACCACAAAGCAGTGCCCCAGCTCCCATCCCAGCCAATCGCTCCAGAAGACACTGTGGCTGATGGTGTCGAAAGCCGCTGGAAGGTCCAGGAGAATCAACAGGGTCACAATCCCCTTGTCTCTCTTCTGGCAAAAGTCCTCCTGCAGAGCAACCAAGGCAGTCTCCACCCCGAACCCTGGCCTAAAGCCCAGATGAAATGGATCCCGAAAATCCACTTCATCCAAGGCTACCTGGAGCTGCCCGGCCACCACCGGCTCCAACACCTTGCCCAAAAGGGGGAGGATCATGGCCGGGCAGCGGGTGGCAACTCTCCCTGGGCCCAGGGGCAGCTTTTCTAGGGTGGTCTTACCACAGCCTCCATTATGGGCTGGGGCTGGGGCCGGGACTGCCTGTCCACCACAGCGGGTCTCCATAACTGAAACTCATCCATCGGAAGGGGGCCAGCGAACACCACCCTGGACACGTCCCGAGACGGAGCTGACTGAGCTCTGGAGTGCTGCTCACAGCCGGTCCGAGTGCTTTTTCCTTTGCAGCGCAGAGCAAGTTGGCCACAGCGAGCCATGAGGCCCTGCGGCGTCACCCAGGAGCGCCAAAACAGCAGCTTCATTCCAAAGGCAAGTCAAACATCTTTTTGGTGTTTGTTTTCCAAATAGGTCAAGTGTCTTTTAAATCAGCTGCTGCATTTTAACTCTTTGCCTGCTGCTAGGTTTTATTAGGGTATTTATTTTGATTTTACAGTTTAAAGCTTCGACAATGCCTCTTATCCTGTTGCATTGTACGGTTTTAATTGCTGAGAATCTGGTCCTGCCCAGAGAGCTTCAGCAGCAGGCGGTGAAGAAATGCTATCCACAAGGAAATCTTTTAGACTGGATGCAGGGCCTTCCCATGGGGCCTCCTTATTATGGGGGTCGGCTCAAGTCCCCGAGCCCACCTCAGCCATGCAGGACTCGGCTGGTGGTGTCACTCGGGTGGGACCGGGGTCACCACCAGCCAAGACCCAACGTGCATCCAGGGAAGAATTTATCCCGGCTATGGCTGCATCGCGAGGCGTGTGTTCCAACAAAGGTTTCCACAAACTGAGCAAGGGTACACAACTGTAAACATATGCATGCATTTACTGGAGAGCACCCGAGGAATCCCACTCTGAATTCACACAGGCTTTCTCATGGCTCTGAGTGATAAGATTCCGAATGGCTGGGAACAGTCTTTTCGCTGCACTTGGAATCCCTCAGTGCCAAGGCCAAATCTTGCTGTTCGTTCCACGGGAACAATCATTCTTCCAATTATGAAAACACCTCAAGCGCCAAGCAATCTGTTATCAGCATCAGGCCATCGACCGTTCAGTTACTCCTTTGCAGCCAAGGACAGAAGATAAAGTAAATTTTATGGTGCACATAATACTGGGCTTTGGCTGCAGCGGAATTCTGCTTGAAAAGGCTTTTACCGTGGTTTGGACTGAGATTCAAAGTCTCTAGAATGGAGACATTTTAAGGGTCTCCTGAAGGCAACTCAGTGCCCTGGTTTGCAAATAATAATCCACAGTTATTCATAGCTGCAGAGCAGCACGTGACTTCCATTTTCTAGACAACCCAGGAATGCAGTGTTCCTGGGCTGTGATTATTTGGTTTGAACCCACACATTCTGGGTCGTTCAGGAGTTAAGCAACTAACTCGGCAACCACCCAAAGGATAACTCTGAGCTGCTGCATGGAAGCAGCCTCCCTTCATTTGGACGCAACGGCAACAGCCGAGATGCAGGCCACTGCTGGATCGTTTAGGAGAGCGGAAGCCAACAACTTGGCTGGAAATCGCCCGCTCGCGTGCGCTCAGGGTCTTCTCGACTGCACCTCCTGTGTGCCGAGCTTAAGCGCCCGGGGCACTCAGAAACAGGGATATATTAGGGTTTAGCTCATTGACACCACAGGAATACCTGAGTAGGAGTGCTGGGTGCCTTCACTGGAGAGCTCCGAAGTCCCGCCGATGGCACAGATGCCCTCTTTCCGGTTGATGGCTTTTCTGAACGTCTTGGCGATGTCGCTGCTTTTCACCTCTTGAAAGATCTGCAAGGAGAGGGCCGTTTCAGGCCAGCCTGCCTCTGAGAAGCACCATGCCAGACAGGACGGGGAGAGGCCTTAGTCTGAAAGCTCCATCGTCCCCAGCCGCAAAACTGGCTGCCGGTGGGAGCCAGGTCCTTCTGGAGGGCAGCAGAAGTTCCGTGTGCACAGAAAATTTTAGGATGCGGTCAAGCAGCGAGGCGAGCTCCTGCTCGTGCCTCCCCCAAGTGTGGGTCCCACCCAAGGAACGGCTCCAGCAAACGAGAACCTGCTTCGGAGGGCCCTGCTAGAAAACTCCACTCCATTCCGCCCACCCCTCACGGCCTTCCCTGGACAGACTGCAGGGTCTCCTTCACTATCATACTTTCCCCTCCATTTGTATATATTAGTTACTCCTCCAAAATGAAGCGTTGCCCTAATTTCTTTTTTTTGTCCACACACGGGGCTATTTGGACTACATAATACGGCACCGATTGCCTAAATGTTGGAAATAAACAAATAAATAAATGCATGGAAGATGAATAAGCCATGAAGAGGCTTGGATGCTTTGCCTTCACAGACTCTGGAATGTAAGAAAAGGGACCTGGCACACCAGGGGGGTTAGGACCCACAGGAGTTTCTCTGGGGCGAGGGGCTTGGGGAAATTTGTGGGAGTTTGGCTCAGGGCAGCAGCTTCCGAAGTACCTGGCCAGACAGCACAAGCAGCGTTGGAGCTGCTGAACCTGCTTGAGAAGCAGAAGCCCAAGAGGGCGAGCTGTTTAAAAGCACACAGAGGTGCTGAAATATTGCCAAATTTCAGCTGAGTCCAACGTTATTTCAGCTGTGCAACCTGATGCCCCATTTTCATGAAAGGCACGAAAGTTGGCTGCCCCGCAACGGAAGCAGATGCTGAGGTCCTAAGATGAGAGGGACAACACCGAGGACTAGCAGCAGGGAGTTTCTAATAAGCTTACGTAAACAAATTCTTCAAAGCTGATCTTCCCATCTTTATTCTTGTCCCCATCCGTCATGAGTTTCTGAATGATCTCCCTCACTTTGTAGCCAGGAAGGGGAAGGTTCGCTTCCTTAAACAGTTCGTGCAACTCATAATCGCAGATAAATCCATTGCTGTTGAGATCTTTCATGCAAGAGGCAGAAACGGAGGGGGGGGGGAGAGAGAAGGTAAATGGGAGGCCCTGCCGAAACGCTTCCTATCCAGCAGTCCCCTAGCAGAAAACCAGATCCTTTGATCCATGCCACATCCCAACGGCCACTGGTATGCAGGAGCAGTGCCCATGTGGAAGCGGCACTGGCTGCGGCCATCTTTCTTTGGAAAGGGCTCCGTCTACCTCCTTTTTGGCCATGAGGCTGAGCTCACCCGCCAGAGGGCAGCACCCCGCGAGCCAGCCAGAAAAGCTTTCTGCACGCAGAGCCACTGAGACGCTTCTGGAGGTCTCCTGCCCTGTGAGAGGAGTCTGATGTGAGCCCCCAGGTTTCCTCCCCTCTCCCCATCTTCTTTTTCCCGTCTCCCTCTGCAGCTCCATGGCAGACCCCGCTTTGCACACAGAGGCGCCCGGTTTGCCTCCCGGCAGCATCCCCAGGGAGGGCTGCAAAAACTCCTGCCTGGAACCCTGCAAAGCCGCTGCTGCCAGTCCGTGTAGACAGCACTGGACTAACTGGATCAGGGTCCTGCTAAATGCAAGGCAACTTCCTGGGCTTCGCTTCTGCTGAGCAGCAGCAGCAGCCCTCAGCTTCTCAAGGAGCATTTGGTATCTGCCCGTTCAGCTGGGAGCGTGAGGAACCGCTGCAAGCGAAGCTCGTCTCAGCCCAGGCCCCGCTTGGCCCGTAATTCCTTCTCCAACCTGGCACCCTCCAGATGTTTTGAACAATAACCCCTGGGCTTCCTTACCCTATTGCATACTAGCAGGGGCTGATGGGAGTTGGAGTCCAAAACATCTGAAGGGACTGCACTTCAGGATGGCCAACAAGGCAAGCCACAAAACAGACGCCCAAACGTCCCATGCCACTCTGGAAACAGGGACCGCTGCTGTGACCTGGGAGTCAGGTACTCAGGTGTAGGAATCTTATCCTCCACTTATTTGGGGGGGGGAGTCAAATTCTTTTACCCCAAATCAGAATCAAAATGCTTATATAAACGCAGCCAGAGAATGGGGAGGGAGAAAACGCAAGAATGGCGCCGAGGCCGAGCGACGCTCTTGGTGTGCGGTCAGACAAGCATCGGCTCCCAACCCCACGCGCGTCGCCCGTCATACTTCGGCTTGCAGAAGCCACGTACCGACTTTGGCAAAGGCCTCTCTGAGTTCCTCCAGCTCATCTTTGGATATCTGAGTAACGCTGGTCATTTTCCTGCATTAAAATAAGTACCTGCACAAGGGGCGAAAGGGAAGGGCCGTTAGCGCAGCAGCAACGCACGCCGGCGATCAACCGGGGGGGGGGGGGCTGCACGGAGCGGACCGTAAATGCTGGGGGAGCTCCTTCCGCCCGCGCACACGGGAGAGGCGCCCTCCTTGGCCGGGAACGCCGCTCCTGCTCGGCCACGTCTGCATTTATTTTCCTCGCAGGCACCGCGCCGACGGCAGCTGTCCTTGGGACCCCTCGCCACAGGGCAAGACCGGAAGGGGGTTCCCGAGGTGCCGTGGGCAGGGACCCTCGCTGGGGGCAGGATGCTCCCCAGGCCCAATCCTGGCACCCTTCGCCAAGAGGAGCAGGAGCAGAGAAGGAGTAAGGCTCTTCCCCAGCTTGCCTCGTGGCTGCCAGCCTGTGCTGGGAAGGGGCTGGGGGCGGGGGGAACGCCTCACCCTGCCTCGGACCGCCCTGGCCAAAGGGGAGGATAAAGACTAGACCCACGGGGGATCCTACTCGGACAGTCAACATGGAAAGGGTGCTGTGCGACCCCCCCCCCCCCGCCCGCCCCCGAGGAGGAAGCGTGTGCCGAGAAGGGCTCGGGTGGATGTGTTTCCCGGGCGGGGGGGCAAAAGTGGCTGCCTGCCAGAGTCCTTTGTTTGGGCAGGCTGCCAAGAGCCATCCCCAGCCACGGCTTGCCCAGAGCTGCAGCACTCCCCTGGCTGTTCCACGCCGAGTGCAGAGATGCAAAGAACATCCTGGGGCCCACGGTCATCTCGGCCTGCAAACGTACATTTGGCATTTTTATTCTAAAAGTGCGATGGATTTCCGGTTTGAGGAGGTGTGGGGGGTGGAAGACCAAGAAAGATGCCAAGTTTGAAAAATCCTGAAAGCACCATGCATCTCTGGGCCCGCCTGCAAAGCCCAACTTTATGCAAGGGAGCCCGATGTGTCCTGCTTTCGCCTCCTGCTGAAGTCGGGCAGCTGTCGCGGGGGCCAGGAGGAATGCCACATCCTGCCCCAGATCGGACTAGCAGAAGGCCTGGGTGGACAACGGGCGATGGAGAGCATCTCTCGTCTCCCCCTCCACAGGCAGCTTGGCTCACCTCCCCGAGCAATCTACATAGCTGTCACCGCTGCAAGCAACTGGATCCGGGCTCGGTCTGCGGCCAACGCAGGCCCTGGGTTCTGAGGGAAACGGCCCGTGCCTCGTCGCCAGAAGCGCTTGCACTTTCTGTCTCTTGCACGCCTGACCTGTGAGCTCACTGACGATCCTTCCCCACCCCCACCGCCTGCAATTTCTCGTTAAGGCTGCAGTCTTCATCCCTTGTGGCTGCAGCACAAGGCATTTGGCACAAGAGAGGACAGGAGGCCCATCGCTCCGTCTCTGTGAAGCAAAGGGCAAGCTGGGTAGGCGACACCATCCCTTGACCCTCCCCTTGCTCTCCTGCAGTGACTGGGCTGGATACCAGCTCCCGCACAGTCTCTCTCTCTCTCTCTCTCTCTCTCTCTCTCTCTCTCTCTCTCTCTCTCTCTCTCACACACACTCACACACACACACACACACACACACACACACACACACACACACACAAGTGGCTCAATGCAAGCAACTGCAACAGTCACGAGGCAGAAACGTGGAATGAGGAGAGAGAAGAGAAGTCGGCTCCAGTCCCTCCTCATTTCCCTGCTTGCAATGGATGGGTCAACAACGTGACTTTGGGCGGACCCAAAGCAGTTCTGACCATCTGGATAGACATGACACAGCTCAGCAGCAGGCACTCTCAGGGTGGTGGGTAACGAAAGCCGGCTGGAGGGGCTGGATGAGTCCCGGCCTCCGGTTCTGTATCTCCCAGGAAACTCCAGCTGATAAAAACAGCAACGCCCGCAGGTTAAACAGAGGCTGCCCTGCAGCACCTGGGCAGGAATTGAGGGCTGGGAGTGGAAAAAACCTGGTGCTCTCTCCGACTTCAACTGGAAAGGCTGCATCTGATTGGTCAACAGGTGCGGCTTTCTCTTCCCAGCAGGTGCCCACCTTGCAAAAAGGTGCAAAATAGCAAAACGGCTGGATCGAGAGGAAAGTTCTTGCCACCTCGGCACATTAGGCGCTAGCATGAGGACTCCTCTCAAAAACTAAATCCATGCACAGTATGAGCGCGCTTGCTGCTTGCAAGAAGGGCCTCACTGCCCATTACGAACGTTAAATTCCTGTTTTAGTTTAGAGTGACAAAGGAAAATCAAGGCCGGCTGCAGGCCAGGGATGGCTGGGGAGGCAAGGATGAGGAATGGAGAAGCTGGAAGGACCTAGGCCCTGTGGGAATGGCCAGCCCAAATGCTTCCAGCCAGATAAAGAGGGCGAGGGCTGGAGCTCGTGACACCAATGCACAGGGCAAGGAAGGAAAAAAGAACAACTTCCCCTGTAGTGTTCATCGCAGAATTTGCAAACTGGCTCTCTGTGTCATAGCAGCATGCAAAAAGTTGAAAACACCATACACAAAAGGTTGCGAGAAAAGCAAAAAGGTCAACAAAACCTCAGCGTTCAAGCCCCTGCTGCTGGTGGCTTCCAAGGATGCTGCTGACATCACTGGGCCTCCGCCCTCGGACAGGCAGTGAGGGACTGTTCTGCAGCTGCAAGACTTCAGCCAAACGGCCTGGATTTCAATCCGCCACTAGGATAATGCTGGGCATGGCGTGAGCAGAGCCGGCTGGAGCTGGGGGCTGGACTAGATGGCCGGGAGACTCCTTCCGACTCGCCATGTGGGGTGCAGGGAACAGGGTTGGGGCTGCCCTTGGGGCCGGGAGGTGTCACGGCCAGCCCTTGACGAGGTCTGCAGCGCCTCTGCAGGCCAGTCCGGTGTCTTTTCCATGGGGGGCTGCTGCTCCTGCCGGTTCCAGGCTGCCAGCCCAAGCCCCACGGCCAGCGGGAAAGGTGTTGCATGGCGAGTTGAGCGCCCCAGTGCCCTGGCCTCGCCAGGGTCAGACACCCCGTGAAGCTGTGCCCGGGGACGGCTGAGGTCTCCACAGCTGTGGTAGCATGCAGAACGGGCCCCCGTCTCTCTCAGCCCAGACCTTCCTCACAGGGCTGTTGTGAGGACCAAGCACTGGGGGAGAGGAGGAGTGAGCTGCCACCCTGAGCTGGAGGGGAAAGGCTGGGCAGAATTCGCCGAGATTCGCCATGCACCTTACCTACGTATTCTGTGACCGGGCAGTCGCTCTCCAAGCCAAGGAGCACAGCAGTGACACACACAGACGGGTGCTGCAGTTTCAGGGCCTGGTGGAAGCAGGGGGGGGGGGGGGGGGAGAAAGAGAATGCGTTGGTTAATCATGCCTTGTCGACTCCATTACAGGCCGAGAACGAGATCGGGTGAGGTCAGCGCCCGCTTTGGGGAGTGGAGCATGCTAATGAAACTGCTTCTGCGTTTCTGCAGGGAGAGAGGCTTTGTGGCAGCCAGGTGTGTGTGTGTGTGTGTGTTTGTGTGTGTCTAGTGCATCTCAAGAATGCTGCAACTGTGATGGCGACCCCAAGGTACTGGATGCCGCTGGTGGGTCCTGTGCTGCCTTCAGCAGGGAGCAGCCTGGCAGCCACCGACCCACCACCCTTGTGGGAGAGGGCCATTTCCGCCAGCAAAGCGCTCGCAAAAAGACTGTCTGTGCAGGCAGGGATGCCCTCCAGGACGGGACCGCAGCCGCCGCGTCCGGGGACCCGGAGAGGCTGCCAGGCCAACAAGCGCTGGCCACTCCTGCTGGAAGTTTCGTCGCTCGTGCCACCAGATGCTTTCAGCTGGGCCAAGTTTTAAAAACCCAAACCCATGAGGAGTCCAGCTCAGCATCCAAATGCAAAAGGTAAAGGCACAACTGGGGCCAACAGGTGAGGAGAGGGCATTTCGCCCCCACCCCCTGAAGTCAGAGAAAAACCCCTCCTCCAAAGAGGCTGTTTGCTGTGGAGAAAAATCCCCCACTGGCACCTACTGGGAATATCCCCCCACCCCCGGGAAAAAGAGAATAATGCTTTATTTTTACTGAGCATGTTTATGAATCAGCCTCTCCATGTGGCAGGCATGAAGGCAATATGCCAGTCATACTAATTTAAGGATCTTCTACCCCACCGATCAGCCAATAAGGTACCAAGACTTGTCTACCCACAATAGGGACAACAGGACACCTCCTGCCTGAGGGCTTGCAATCCCAAAGACACAACACAAAAGGAAAACAAAGGCGGGAGGGGACAGGAAAAATGCAGGCTCAGACTCTGGAAGGTCAAATAGTCATTGAAATAAGCAAACACAGTGCAAACATCCTCAAATCACAGATGCAAAGCATATTCTGCGCTTAAAATTGATTAAACAGAAGAGAGCAATGATGAAAGAGCCCTGCTAAGATAACACGGAAGGTCTGGCGAAAAGCAACCATCGTCGTCGCCCACTGGAGGCACAGAAAAAGGGGCCATCCTAACCCCCGTGGGAGAGAATTCCAGCGGGGGGGGGGGCTGCAGAAGAGGGTCTGTCCTGAGCCCCGCCAGCCTCGCCCGTGTCCTTTGCCAGGGCCAGCGAGGGCGCTGGCAAAGAACAATGGTGCCTTCCAGCCGCTCTCCTGTGCCTGGTTCCCAAGGGGAGCAGGAGTTACCTCCAGCTTGTTGGAACCACATACGGAGCTCTTATTTTCCACAAACACAAGCTGTGTAAAGCTGTGCACCCCATGCAGGACCAGAAATACTAAGTTTAGAACAGCAAAATGAAAAAGCCTAATTAAAATAAAAACAAAAGCAATTTGGACTCAGATAAAAGAACTTACTCTTGACCGATAACTAATAAAATATGTGACCAGATGGTAGGTAATCAGAATTGCTCTTGGACCCCGTTCATTTGTGATTGTTAATGATCTGAACAAATCAAACCATTATGGGATGGGGAGGGAGAAACAGCTGGGCAGAAGGAACAGACCTGGACAGGACTGTATTCCTTTCCCAAATGCTCTCTGGGAAGAGTGCTGCCATTTCTTTAACCAGGGTTTCCCTCAGTGAGGAAAAATTTCAGTTCCATGATGCTCCTTTCAAGACATAGAAACACAGATGCAGAGCGAGTCAGAAGGGGCCTCCTGGGCCATCTAGTCTGACCCCCAGCTCCAGCCGGCTCTGCTCATGACATGCCCACCATGTGCATGTCCAGCTTATCCTTGAACATCTTCACCAATGGGGCCTCAACGACCTCCCGGGGAAGCCCATTCCACACCCTCGGGGTGCAAGTGCTTCCTGGCATCTAAATGGAACCTGGGTTCCCTGAGCTTTGCTCCGTTGGAGCGCGTCCTGCCTTCCTCTGCAGGGGAAAACAGGTCTCTACCCACCTCCATGGGACACCCCCTCACGTACCTGCATGTCACCAACAGACCCCCTCTGAGTCTCCTCTTCTCCAGGCTGAAGAGGCCCAGTTCCCTCAGTCTCGCCTCATATGGCATCCCCTGCAAACCGGCCACCAACCTTGTGGCCCTACGCTGCACTGACTCCAACCTGGCTATAGCCTTCCTGTAATGAGGGGCCCAAAACTGAGCACAGTACTCCAAGATCCCTTTCACAAGTGCTGCTCTCCAGCCACTTGTCCCCTAACCTGTACTTGTGACACCCATTCCTGTGCCCCAAGTGCAAGACCTTGCAAATACCTACATTGAACGCCATCTTGTTGTCTCCTGCCCACTTCCATAGTCTGTCCCGATCCTTTTGGATCCGGAGTACCTGCTCCTCAGTCGTGGCCACTGCCCCCATTTTAGTATCCTCTGCGACCTTGATCAGCAGACTGTTCACCCCTTCTTCCATGTCATTAATGAAAAGACCAAACAGGATCAGCCCCAGGACAGAGCCCTGGGGGACCCCGCTTGACACTGGCCGCCATCCCGATGATTCCCCACTAATGGTTACCTTCTGCTTTTGGTCAGTCAACCCTGCCCTAATCCACCAGACAGTGCTTTGGTGTATCCCAAAACTCCTCAGCTTCTCCACCAGGATATCATGGGGCACTTTGCCAAAGGCCTCCCCCCCTGCACGGACCTCGCAGTGAGAGGAGAGCGTCCTGGTTTCTGGGCAGTCCTTGGATGGTGGATTACGGCTTCGCTGTTTACCGAATTCCTTCCATGCCACAGTCCTACTTGTTGCTAAAAGGCTGTTTCGAAGCGCTTGCCTGCTCTCAGAAGGAAGCAGAGGGCGGAACGCGCAGCGACTCCAGGGCTCTTCAGCCAGTTGACGGTTGTGCTGCATCCGAGGCAGCCAGCACACCCTGCACTGGCACAGGCTCCAGAGTCGCCTGGGTGCTGCTTCCCTTTCCCGCCAGGATTGCACCCCTCTGAGCTTTTGTTCTCCGCTATTTTGTACACGCGTCCCAGGCAGCCGTCTTCCACCTTCGCACAGTTCTGGGATTCACACTTCTGCTTTCCACTGAGGCTGCCCCTCCACCTTGGGAGAACTTGCTAAGCTTTGCCACTTGCTCACACGCCCAGCTAAGTCAGCTTTTCCCAGCTTCCCACACCCTCTGTGGGATCACCAATGTCCAGGTTCAGAAACGGAGACTCGAGCGGCTGTGACTATCCCTATTAGCGCTAGTACAGCTACTGCCACATTTTCACTCTGCCTTGCTCCTCTCGCACGTGTACAAGGCTCTCCCCTCTCCATTTTATCCTCACAACCACCACCTTGTGAGGTAGGTTAGGCTGATCCAAAGTCCTCCACTGTGCTTCCTGGCCAAGTGAGGACTAGAATCCAGGTGTCCCGGGTTGTTTGAGAGCCAACAGAGGTAGGGCCAGGGAGTCACTGCTGAGTGGGGACCACCTGGATCTCCTGCCTCCCTCCTTATACACCTGCCTGCCCCTAAGATCTGTGCCAAAGGCTCTCCGTCAGGAGCCCTCTGACAAGAATGCTAGAAAGGTGGCTGCCCGGGGAAGGGCACTCTCTGTGGTGGTGCCCCGGCTTTGGAGTCTGCTCCCCAGGGAAGTGTGCCTGGAGCTGATCCTGTATTCATTTCAGCGCCAGGCCAAAACCTTTTTATTTTCCCAGTATTTTGAGTGCTGACTTGTTTTAATACTGGCTTTTATTGGGTTTTGTTTATTTGATGCTGCTTTTTATTGTTGTATCACCATCCTGAGGCCTTGGTAAAGGACAGGGCAAAAATGCCATAAATAAATGAATAAATGTGCCAGTTCAGCACTCCAACCACAGCATTCTCCAAAATTGTGGGTGATTATGTTAGCTCCTAAGCAAGACTGAAGCAGCAGCGAGTCCACAGCTCCCATGCTCCCAGGAATCAGCTTCACACCCCGTCAGACGGCTAATTTGCCCATCTGGGCTCTCCCATCACCTGCTTCCGGGGGTTTCTAATTTCCGGGCATGAAGAATGTGCTCCACAGGAGCAACAAGCCCTCCCCAAAATCCTTACTCGGACCACCTGAGCTTTGCTTCTTGGCACCAGAATCCCGCTCGCGTACATTCACTCCAAGCTGTCCAGATGATGTGCAGCCAGAGCTTTTGCCGTCGATTATCTCTGTAGGGGCGTTCTGCTTCTCGGGTTTTACACCACAAAGGATTTCTGGATTCAGGACTGGGTTTCGGCCAGCCTTAGCAGAACCCGCCCATAAGGATACCGACAACTGTTAATAGACTGATCCGCCTCAGTGGCAAGTTCGCTGTTTATTTAATCAAAGGATTGTTATGCATTTGTTTCTACTTGCGCGATGCGACCAGATGGCATGGCAGGGAGTAAACCACACAGTCAGGGAACGCCCAGTGAGCTGGGAGCAGCCAGCCCCAGTGAGATCACGCTGACTAAGGGCTGCCCTGCCAAAGCAAGCGGAAAGCCAGACTCTTGTTCGGACACAGGCATGGACTGGAGGATGCTCTGCGTCACCTGCTGAATGGCCCCGGCTCCCAGAATGCCCTTGGAGATGAAAAAGCACAGCCCGGGGTTTAGGGCACAGGGAGTTGGAAGATGCACCTCCCTGCAGGTGTGCTTTTTGTGGCGTGCTCTGTTTGAGGAAGACTCTGAGGCAGCGCCAGCCTCTTCTGCACCCTGGTGCTCAGCACTCGCTCAGGGGCCCGCGTGCCTTGCTCAAGGAAGGAGGCAGGTCAGAGCTTCAGGAGCTGTGAAACTGAGGCCAACCTTCCCTGAAAGGCAGTGCCAGGTATAACCTGATACCTGTCCTACCACTGAATAATTCATTCAGCCTGCAAACCTCCATTCAGAGCCTACAAACCTGGCCCCTTTCACAGGCCTTGCTGCTCCCTCCCTTTCCGTC